TTGAGACATAGCCCAACCATATAAATTGTTGGCATCAAAATATGTGATATATGAATTTGGTTTCCCTGTATCATAATCCTCCATGTATTTGTTATTAGCTCTAGCATAACGATTACTACATTGAGATACACCACCTCTGATACCTGATCTAATAAATGCAATTTTCTCATAATCTGTTAAAAGTTCTAATTCTATTTTTGTATATTTTAACATTGCATCCCAACTTAAACCGGGTGCTGTGTAATAATGGACAGGGTCTAAATCATATGTATTAATACATAACTTTCTAAAGTTTTCAAATACATCGGATAAAAGTAAAACGTCTGTTTTTAAATATAGGTTTGAATAATCTAGCATATTACAACACCCAAAATGTTCCCAAACATCTTTAGCATGATTGTAATCATCATTTGAAATATGTGAATCTGTGAGTGAACTATAAAAACATTTTTGTTCAGGGAGCGATGTTAGACTTAAACTATCATAATTAGTCATAAGTTCATATGGATAAACACCTTTCCGTTTTAAACGAAAGAAATCTTCATCATTAGGGTAATTTCTACGTAATTCTTGAAATTGATCATTACTGAGATTTTTGGCCAATTCTTCTAATTTACACGATAAAAACTTAAATGAATCTAAGAATCTCAATATAATTTCGTGGTTATTCACTTTTAATTTTTTGGAAAAGGATATATATTTTTCTTTATTTTGAGGGATAACTTCGACTTCACCATCACAAAAGTTTAACGCGTGAACAATAAAATGAGCATCATAGTGACTAAGGTTGTGTAAAAATATTGGTATATAACTAGGTGTTCTGATCTTCGAACAACATGATTCATGAGCAACACCTATAAAACTACCAGTGTACCAATCAAAATCATAAAAATGTTTTGCCAACTCAGTTTCACAAATATGACAAATGGTTGCATTTGAAATTTGGTTTTTGTCTTCATTTGTTAGCGGAAGTGGTGGATATTTTTGAAGTCTATTTATTTCTTTTAGATTGTTAGATAAACTTTCCATAAACACTTGTGCACAGTTGGGTCCGCAATATGTTACATATTTTGATAATTGATCATCATATGAACATTTTATATAATATCCAAAACTATGTACTTCATGTTTCTGAATATTATGAGTGAAAGGTTTGTAAGGATCGTTAGAACATGATTCTATTGGTTTTAAAAATGCTTCAAAATCAGCATAAACTACGAATGGTATCTTTAACTTTTTTTCATAACTATCAAATTTAATTTTATCATTTGAAATAGGTTGACCAAACCAATTCTTTTTTTTTAAAGTTTCACTGTTTGGTAATACTGTACAAATGTGAGCACAATCGTATTGTTCATGGTTATTTAACCTTTCCTGAGATGGAAAACGAAGTAGACATGCTTCACAAATGTACATGATGTGACCGTCTTTTGAAATTTGTTTACTAACTAACCGCGATAAATTTTTTATATAGCAATAATGATTTTTTGTATCCTTGGAAAAAAATAATAAATTGATATGTCTATCTTTACGACACTTTGTTAAAAATAATGGACCTACTATAGAATTACATCGTTTTTCTTTATTATATTCTAACCCAAAAACATTAATACTAATATCATTTAATTTCTCTACTTTTGCTATGTCAGAAATTTTAACCGGAAAGGAAATACCATCAAATTTAAGTTTATTTGCATGTTTAACGTACGATGATACCCGATCGGTGTGTTTGTTTACAGGATATAACGCCGAGAGTAACGCCCATTTAAAACAAAAATAATCCTTGTTTTTTACATTTATAACAGCCTTTTTTAATTTTATGTCACGAGGAAGATCTATGTATGAAGTACCGCGTAGGGGGTTAAATTTATTAACATTCATGTCTATAGATTTTATGTTTTTTAGACTCCATCCACTATCTTTTTTTTCGAAAGCACTAATTTTAGTAGTAATTGTATCATTTAAAGATGAAAGAAAAATATTTAAGTCATCTCCTTGACAAATAATATAGTTAAGCGTTTGAAAATCGAACGTATCATGAATATCTTTAGTTTGTTGAACAAAATCAGCATGCAATATGAAGTTTACCTTAAAAATTATGTGTTGATGAATACACTCTTGTAATAAAAATAAAATATCATCTTTAATAGAATTTAAAAATAGTTCAGGAGTTTCAAAATTTACCCATGTCGAACGATCTACTCTACTCTTGATTTTATAAGTTAAAATCCTATTTCCAAAAGCAGATTCAATAACACTAACGTTTGATAAAGAATTATGTGAATTTAAAAGATTATTTTTATGAACATTACTTTTAAAATGATTAGCTAAATACCGTTTCTTGATAAATATATGGCACGTTGGACATTCCACTTGATCATCGTTACTGATACTGTTCCCTGCAGAGGTATGCGCTTCTGCTTCCGTTGTTGGTTTTTTGATGATCTTGGATTCTTTGCTGCACGTTCGCTTCGTTCCTCTTCCAAGTTGTAGTGGTTGACTGCTAAAATGTTTAAATTTATTAAAAACTGTATAAGACAATATGTAAATTATGATCGAAATGAATGTTTATTTTACATACTTAAACTGTGTTTCAACCATCGCACAGTGATGATACAACTCATCATCGTATGACGAATCGAACAGTTGACCCCTCTCCATTTCTTCACAAACTTTAGACAACTCCTGATTTAATTCGCTATTGAATAGTTCCGTATTCTCTTCCATGATTGTGGAGAAAAAAGCACTGGTGCACACTTCACTGAAGTTTTCCCTTCCTCTTTTTTATTTTTGATTCAGCTTCAAAAAAAAATGATCAATCGATTGCGATTTTCTTTTTCCACCATCGCATGTGTTATTATTAATGACGAGGTTATCACTCTCTTCTTGAGGGGAGAGTGGCGAGTAGTAATACTGTTTATAGGTATTATATACCACCAGTACGTAAAAATTCTAATCTAAAGTATTTCCGTAATGAGTTGATAATTACTTTATGCGTCAACCAGTTTATCTCACATTTCCGTTGCCTATCTCAACATTTCTTCGTATTGTGTTTTGTTTGGTGATCAATGACTCAAGTACGATTTGTATAACACAAAAATGCAATTTAATATTTAGAAACATATCAGTTTATCTCACATTTCCGTTGCCTATCTCAACATTTCTTCGTATTGTGTTTTGTTTGGTGATCAATGACTCAAGTACGATTTGTATATCACAAAAATGCAATTTAATATGTAGAAATCACTATAATTGACCATTCCTATGTTATTCATTGAGTAGCTAGGTACTGTAATAATCTACTAATAGCAGTAATATCATGGATACACTAGATGTACAACAACATCTGAAAAAGATTCACCCCAGTCTAGAAAATAATGTTTATGCAGCTAATAGACTGCCTATGTATACCCACGTACCAACGTATATAATATGTAATTTGGATACAGATGATAAACCAGGGTCACATTGGGTAGCTTTATATATCGATACGAATGACGTCGGTCAATATTTTGATTCATATGGACGATCACCTGTACGATATCATCTAGAGTTTTTAAAAAGGAATTGTAAAAGATGGAACTGGAATGTTGATAGGATTCAGAATGAGTGGACTTCAGTTTGTGGCGAATATTGCTTAATGTATTTACTATATAAGTTTCAAGGATGTTCAATACATAGTTTTACGAGTATATTTACAAGGAACACATTGTACAACGATATTTTAGTGGATGAGATGTTTCGCTCCTATTTTATAGATAATAATTAATAAGATTTTGTATTTTATAAATAAAAATTGTAACAAAATTATGTAATGTGTTTTATTGATGATTCAGATTAGCGTTGTATAAACAAAGAATTATAATAAACAATAGCACTGATATAGTCGACGCACACGCTGCAATGAAGGTGATAAAGGAACAATAGAACAATAGAAATAGGAACAATGGGACGCTAATGACGGTGGAGGCCCTTACCGGATATCAATTAGATATTAGCTAATTGATCTACACATCTCCGGAACCGTGCATTCTACACAAAAACACTATTATGCGTTGGTTGATAACTTTCTCGTTGCTAAATCCGTTAGGATTGGTTCCCACCTACTTATGTACCTATAACCCTTTTACAAACAATAGTACCTACTGCAGCAGCTCTTGCACTGTTGTATTCCGCTCTGAAGATTAAGAGAGCCAGTATAATTACCTACAAGCTGTGGTGCTATCCTATTAGTCTTCAGGGTTGACAACGCTCTGTAGCATTCTTTGTTCGAAATTGTTTATAAAAGACCATGAGCCACTTAGCCACTTGGAATTTTGTGGACGCTCATGTCATTCTAACATTATAAAATTCCAATAAAAATGTGTGTTCATTTCAAAGTTATAATTTCTTTGCTAATACTACTACCTTAAATATATAAGTTAGAAGTTTCTCTGCGTGATAGAATTCATAATGATGATATCCGCAGCAGAATCGGGGTATCCGACATCCTCATCTTACATATCACTAAGTTGAGGTGTATATATAAGGCAAGCGCAATATAGGGTATCCCCCACTAAATAGGGATGCGATTTGATGAAACGTGTGGAGTTGATAGTTGACGATGGCTCAGAGCCGTACGTTAGAGCAGTCTTTTGTTCAGCTGTCGAATATTCGATGATGCGATATATTCATGGTGATGAAATGTGAGATTCCTGTATTGCTTTTTTATATCGCGCGGAATTTGTTCATGTATAAATAAAATTACATTAATATATGATTTATGAAAGAGACTAATACATACATAATACAGCACTTGTGTATCACAAGATTCTATAGAGATTGTTGTTCTTCGTAGAATAAGTTATAACATAACCTATAATTATACAAGGTAAACACAGATATTGATTCAATGCAATTATTGTGGGAACAGACCAGACGAGCACCTGACACGCTCAGGCACACATCACCTACTTTTATTATATGTGTATGGATTAATGTTTTATTTTTCTATGTTTCAGCCTGAGCAGTGCGGAAGAAAGTGACAAAATGTTGGACGGCCGGCCATCGGTGGCGTAAGCGTGGGAGGAATTATAAAAAAAAATATTCTATTAAAATTTTCAGGCTAGCCCTGTATCGCAGTCCCCCTATTCGTCTACGTGTTCGAATCTGTCATCGTATATTAATAAACATAGAATTTATTTTCGTGATAAAACTTTTTTGGACGCATCTTTAAAAGTTTTCTGCTATTATAGTATCCTAGGAGAGTATTTTAGGGTGCAAAATATGTATGTGATAAAATACTTTATTTACTTTACTACGTTATTTTTCCAATTTATGCTAATTTAAATGGAACATTAATCAAGAGATCGAATCTGAATATTTACTATATATTATTAAGTGTGTAAACCCTCAGACAAAAAGAAGATAGACGGAGTTCTGTGTACATTTCAAGTAACGTCGAAATCAGGTTTTGGCTTGGCCACCCTCAACTTTTTGTAAGAACTCGCACTTACGCATCGATATGCATCTAAAATCATTTGCAAGTAATAACATGATTTAAGGTGCATATTATGTGTTCGTCCAGTAGTGGATTTTTACCGAGCTGTTAAACAAAGAAAGAAGGTGTGGTTGTGAAGGGGTGAAGGTGGAAGGAAAGTGTGGTTGCGTGTCAAGAAATTTAGCATGGTTTCAGCGTCACTTATCTCAACGCTTCGACTATCTTTGTTTGTTGGTGTTAGACTAAACCTAATCCTCTTTTATCAGTTGTCTACGTTTATTGTTTAGTGGATACATCATGTATATATAATCAATGCTCTTTTATGACATATTGAGTAATATCTTACTATATACATTTGAATAAGATTCATTGTTAAATAAATTGGTGTGATTGATCTAAGACATGTGGCCAAATTATCGTCCATACTTTTAGGATTGTAATGAGCATTTTCGTGTATTTGTCATTTATTAATCGTATCTTTCTTATTAAAAAAATCGCAAAATAAGATTGTCAAATAAAGTGTTAGAAAGTTATGATTTTAGTAACTTTACTAATTACACTAATGGTTTTCTGTCTGGAACGCGTGATAATGCTTGAAGATACAGCTTTGTGTTGTTAAAATTTAAAATGAACGTATAAAACGTGTCTGTTACGTATACTTTTAAATCGCTTACTTGAATTTGGTAAGTTTTTAAGGATATTAGAAATGAAACGCATGTCTGATTTGTTTATCTTAACTTCTGCATTCAACAGAAAAGGCAACTTAATATAAAAATAAACGCACTCGTATGAAGTGATACAGACATATTTTATGCTTAAGCTACTGCGGTAATTATTTCGTAATGTTTTATGTATAATATATTTTATGTTGAGACCGTCCTTTTTAGATTTAAGTCGTCCATGTAATTAATGTACGTGTGTATGTAAACCCATCAAGTAAAGGGGTGTTGTCCAAGTAGATGGATACCATGGCATTTAATTTTATAGAACTATAGGGTTTGGATTGATATTATTTTTGTTGAAAGCTCTCTTAAATCAAAAATCGTTTAATGTTGAATTATTAAAAGGAAAACAAACACACTGTAAACAAACGATCATCACAAATATATAATACTTTACTATGAATCGTACAATATAAAGTAAAAAAGGAACCTAATTATGTAAATATTCCGATTTTAGATAAGACATAGCCTTAAGCCACGATTAAATACCTACAATATTAATTTTATTTAATAACTATATAATATTTTATGTTTTATATTTCACAGTTTTATATAAACTACTTTTATGTTCCTTTCTACGTTAGACCTTAGTAATTTTACAAAGTTGCAAGTGTGAATTTTTATTGAGTTTTTAATTTACAATGAAATATTTATAATTTATTTTGATTGTACTTGAAGTACAATTTTTTTACTAATATGTACTTAATATATATTCAATGTCTTTGTCATTATCTCTAATAAAGTTAATTAAGAAGTATTATGTGGCAATGTTTTATTTTTATTTAATGAATTTTTGCGTATAATAGAAGGTTGTCCTCCACACCAAACCACGGCTGTATGCGGCGCCTCCTGTTCATCACTTAACGAACATTGATGACTATGACGATCAATCCAAATATATTCATGTATCGTGATGGGAATAAAACATTACTATAATAATATTTAAATAGCGATCCTTTAAAGTGCAATCACACACAAATGTGAATTTAAACCGTCTAACTTGTGTGTGTAGGACCTGTTTAATCACACAACAAATTAATCAAAATCGTTCGAGCCGTTTTTGAGTTTAGCGAGACCAGCGGACAGCAGTTGATTTTTATATATAGATATCTAATAACTTTTAGGGCTTATGCACACGGATTATTGTTAACGCGCTGACAATGCACGTTTTACGAACGTGCGCTCACGGCACTGTAGATGAAAAAAAAGCCAATGTTGCATTTGTATCTATTAAAACGCGCCTACGAAGCGACAAAAACACGCGCGAGAAGCGCGTTCAAAGCTCTTCAGTATCGCGTTTGTTTATGAAGCTTTTATGTTTGACCAATGTTTTAAAAGTTATATTAAAATGACCACTCAATCTTTTTTCGCTCGTGAATATATACTCTCGCTATACAATAAAGTAGCTTATTTTTTCTTTTTTTTATCAGTAATAAAGCCAGCGTAAGCAGTGTTGTATCGAACTATGCTATTTTACTACTGTTGAAGAGTTAGGTGAAAATGCAGAGAGACTGCAGAGCGTCTGTATCGCCGTTTGTATCGATACAAATGAGCGTTTACAGCGGCACAAAATTTTGGAACATCTGCAAAGGTTTACTGTCTGCGTTTTAATTTCGTTTAAGGCGCGTTAGCGCACGTCATGTGCACGTCGTCGGCGCGTTAAAAATACGCCGTGTGCATAGTATAACGATCTAAAAAAGTTGTATGTTGTACACCAAATTAAGCTTTTTTTTTAATAAGTATGACAAACGGCCCATAATCAACTATAGAAAGCGCCGCCATAGACACCACCTGTTAGCTGTCAGCTATCCACGATTAAGAATAAAATGCAAAAAGGGTTATCAGTCCATGTCCTTAACCACACAAAACATAGTAGTAGTATTAGTCTCAATGATAAAATTTGTAACTACTCTTTGTTTGTAACATTGATTTTCAGTAATATTCTTTTATCAATCTAGTTCTAAATATATCTGCTGATGACTTAATACTCTTTGCTGGCCATAAGCCTCAAACAAAAATAGTCTGCATTCTGTGAGCACGTACAGGGTCGCCCGCGTCACATTAGATTTGATAGACCACAAATCCTCGCTAAAGAACACCGATTTAGTCCAAGGATGATTGGCGAGGCTATTGAAATAAAAAAAAAACAGCCTTAATAGAAAAGATGGCTGGGTGCTACCATCTGCTTGAGATCCTATAATAAATTAAATTAAATTCCAACCGAAGCATACAACTGTAGATAGAGATAGATAAGATACTATAAGCTCATTCTGAGTAGATCGAACCAAAAATTCAGTGCGAAGGGCAAGCCAGGCATGCCATCGATTATTTTTCTGTGGCCTATTACACGCGAGTCGTCATTTTAAAAATCGTTATAACTCGCTCAAATTGCGTTTTTGAAAGATTTATCCAGAACGAAATATTCATTATTTTTAAGTAATTCACGCCAATAGCTTCATTTCTGAATATTTTAAGAACTTGAAATTTTTAGGGGTTGACAAACTTTTTTAACTTGTAGATGGTACTTTTTACTGTGTGGATTTTTTAAATCATGTTGTGGAAAATAACTCTAAGTAACAAATAATAGCACTCATTGCGATCGCTCACAAACTCAAGTTGTAAACATGTTTCTGGAAAACAAGTCTCCTGTTAAAAAAATTCGTTTGTCTTATTGTTTAATTTTGCTTAAAATGGTTGAACTGCCGTCTTATTACTACCATGTGGCTGAATAGACTTACGAAGTATCATATGCTCTTGTGATGGTATAAGGTTAATTTTTGCTTGAAACAGTTCGAACTCGTTCATGCATTAAAAAAAGTTCGCTAATAAATGGTCTTGTTCATCTGCCGCCGTACACCGCCGGCGCATCTGACTATTGTTTTTTCCTTTTGAAAACACTTTTGTTTTGCTATTCTTACTAATTAGCCGTTTTCAGATCGACTTTACCTTTACATTTGTATAACATTAAATAATATATAACATTTGTAAATATCAATCAACCATAAACCTTATTTTTTCCAAGGTTAAGGTTCTTGATTGTTTGATATTTACAAACGTTATTATTAGACGACAATTTAATTTAATAAAAACCAAGGTTCAGGGTGATTTAGCTGTACCTACTCATATGTTTTTTTTATAAAACAAAAAATAGTACAAAAGGTTTGTAATCTCTGCATATAAAAGTCACTTACTCTCCATTTCAAGGAAAACACGTAGTAAGCCACTAAAAACAAGTATTCTTCCGTTTGTAACTGATGTTTGATATCAACTAAACTTAATCAGGTTTAAACAAGTGAAAATTTTTACACATGGCTGATGGCACAATAGGCGTGTCATCAACGTCTATGGCAAATATTTGTTCGCTGCCACAGCTAAAAGTTGTCGAAAATTGGTATTGCAACGAATCGGTTAAACTGAAGGCAGCCGTGGTTAGCTATGACATTAGGATGTCGACCTCACCGTGTCCATGGGTGCTGTAAAGTACTCGAAACGTTCGGAATATAAAATAATATACGTGATATAAAATTTATATGTTTTATTTAAATTTGTAGTGTTCGCGTAAACATAATAAATCATAAAAAGAAATATATAAACTAAATTAAAGATATGTATCGTAAAGAATTTTAAGTTTTATTACATTACTAACTTTTTACTAATGTATCAGAAGTAGAAAACTATGCCAACAAGCCTGTGACGCTAGATGTATGGATATGAGATATTTTAAAAATAACGGTTAAAAGGTTTATTGTATTTTTATAGCGGGGGCAAACTATTTTTATGCTGTTAAACTGCCAACCAATCTAAAGACGATGTGGCTGGAACGAATGGTGCCGCATGTACAATCGTGCGATTTGACGGCTACAATAAATTCGAAATAATTCCTTGGAGCACTCCTCGCAGTACGAGGGGCACACTGAAACTCAACGTTTTCCTGCTTCAAAAAATCATTTGTCTTCCGAAACGTATGGGAGCTCGCATTATCGTGATGTAAGATAATCCAACGTTTCGGGTTATTTTTTTGGAGTTCGGTTATCATTTCTGGCAAACAAACCGTGATATACCATTTAGCGTTAACCGTTCTGCGTTCCTGTAAAGGAATTGTAGCAACATGCCCCTTTTTCGAGACAAACGTAGCGACCATTTTCTTTGACACGCTGCGGGAGCGAACCACTCGTTGGTTTGACCTCGTCTTCGAAGACCCAAACTGCTGACTGATGTTTTCTTTCAGGTTCGTATGAATAAATTCATGATTCGTCACCTGAGACGATATTATAAACGGCATCTGACTTCCCTCCGTTGCAGCGTTGCAGAGTATTCCGGCACCAATCTACACGAGCCTCCTTTTGCTCTTCGGGCAAATTGTGGGGAACCCAGCGGGAAAATAGCTTTCTTACACACAGCTCATTATGTAATATCGACTGAATTGCAGTCATTCCGATACTGATAACAACCCGAACCTGCTCGTGTCACATGACGGTCATCTAATATAATAGTTCGCACAGCTGCAATGTTTTCTGGCGTGACTGCTGTTCTTGGTCGACTTACAGAAGAAACAGTGCTGAGCGACACGTGACCGCGTCGGAACTCGGCATACCAGCGGTATATTGTCGTTTGACTCGGTGCTTCAACATCATAAATCGAAACAAGTTCGCTGAGACATTTATCTTGAGATAAGCCGCGACGAAAATTGTGATAAATTAAGGCACGGAAATGTTCACGCGTAAGCTCAATTTCTGTTAACGACGTGTCAACTTTAAACCAACATAGTTTTTGTTTTTAATTGTTTGAATGTCATTAAGATTCTAAGAGGCCAGTATTCAAATACTAAAAAAGGTTTTATTGTAACTCAATCCGAAATATTCTATTCCCGATCATTTCAGTGTGCCCCTCGTAAAAGCGATAAAAAAGCAAAGATGAAATGTTTCTTCGCAAGTGAATCAAGTCGATTTGAAAGGAAAAGAAAAGATAATCCACGATTGCACCGCCCTCAAATGGAAGGAGCTGGTACTGGAGTGTTTCGGCTCAGAAATAACAGTATTCCACCAGAGGCCGAACTTTTGCCTTGTAAAATTGCATTCAAATTGTAATGGGTTAAGAACATAACTCATAATCATAACATTAATTTGTGTTACCAAATGCTTTGGATCGTGTTATGTGGCATTCCTCGCTGGAGGCCTATGCTCAGTAGTAGCAGGCCTCTGTCACTCTTGCTACCGGCGTGAAATAATTACCTACAATCGCGAGCCGCCCCAGGGGTAGATCGCAGTTGAAGGGTACAGGGAAAGAAAGATCATTATCCATTTTTTCCGAATATTAGTTAACAATGCCATCTAGTACAAAATGTATAAAGCTATTTGGTTATGAAACCGAAAACTGTTATAAACCCCAACTGTTGGGGCTAGCGCGCTCTATTCGATTGAATGTTAGTTTTTTAACGCTGTTTACGTAAATAATTTTTTTGTAAATACTTGTTGAAATACTCGTCGAAATAGGTTTTGTTTAGTGTTTAGTATATTTAATTGTAGGATAAAATAGTTCAGTTTTAATGTAATTTAAGAATAATATGTATATTACCTATCTATTTGATAAATTATAATGGCAAAACGTCGTTGCTTCTATAATTGTTGCGGGGCTGGATGCTTAATGAGCAATTAAAAGCATTCAGATATATCATTTTTTGAGTTACCGAAGGATAATGAAAGGTAAATTTCTTTAATTTTTTTGTTAGATAGAGAAAAAATAATTAAGTAATAATTTAACTACAGAATACCTAAGTACTTTTGTTACGGCCCACAGCAGCTCCTGCAAAGATCAAATATTTAAATAACACTAATTTTACGGATTTTATCGCGTATATTAACTTATTTTACTTTCCCGACGTTTCAAGCACTTTACAGCACCCATGGTCACGGGGGGGACTGAGGTGTATGACGTCCCAATGTCATAGTTAACTACGGCTACCTCCAGATTAAATATTATTAATTTTTGTTCCGATCTACGCAGTATGAACTTACAGTATCATGAAGTCTTGCAGATTGCAGACAAATGCACTTCAACACGCATTCACTATCTAATTTGCACAATTACTTTCAAAGAAGTTACTTTAATCAGTCAAACACAATACAAGCCTCTTGTCAAGAACTTAGACCCTAGACAACCTAAAACGAGGCGGTTTTCACGAAACACAATTACGTAGCGAAGTCACGCGCACAATTTCCAAAATTCTAGACCCTAATCCAAAAAACCCGGTATCGCGAAACCTCAGCGGCGGGCATCGAAAGACACCAATTAACTACCCAGCCGCCGTCGAGCTACTATCTCTTAGTCCAGCGCCGAAATCACCGGAACCGGGTACACCACCGCCCCCGCACCGCGACCCGCGCGACACCTGGCACCATCGGGCGATTCACGAAGTCGAACGTGATTGGATGTCGTACAAATTACCTTTTTTGGGCCAAAACAACTTTATTACAAAACTTTGTTGAAATTTACTTCCCTACCTAAGTACCTACTTACATACCTATACTCGTCTTTGTAATTAAAATATTTAAAGTTATAATAGCACAAAATACTGAAATTAAAACTGTTTACAAGATTTTCAACTACGTAGATTACGATCATATTTCTGTTAGGAATCGTATTTCGGGTTTATTTGTTGTTTACGCTATCTACCTATACGAACCAAGCATCGCGATTCCCGATGAATGGCCTTGCAAGTTGCATGCGTTGGGCATCATATATTTTTAATTATAAGTTGACTGACGATCCTTTGGAAAGAGTTAAAGAGATTAGGGACTTAGGATTACTATTAGATTGCAAATTAGATTTTCACACGCATATCAACAAAATTTGTAAGTCAGCGCATAAAATGTTAGGGTTTGTCATAAGGACTGCGTCACAGTTTGATAATACACGGGTCGCAAAAGTATTATATAATGCTTATGTGCGCAGTAAACTAGAGTACGGAGCTGTTATCTGGAATCCTTACGAAGAGAAATACGTTCTAATGATTGAAAAAATACAACGTAAATTTGCTCGATGGATATATAAGAAACAGTACGGATACTATCCCTACTTATACCCTTCCTTATTCGTGTCTGGTATGGTGGACATTGAAACTTTGAAACTTAGAAGGGCAGTGTCTCAAGTCATGCAATATCTGTCCATAATTCATAATAGGATTGATAGTCCGCAAATACTAGAGCGTGTCCGCATCTTGGTCCCTGGGAACGTGTCAGCAAACTCGCAGGGACAGGTGGCACCGCGGCGCCGCCCGCGACTGCTGGAGCCCCCCCCCCCTCCCCCCGCGCACGTACCGAGCGCGCTCGTCAAGCGCCCACCAACCGCGCACTCCGCATTATTGGGGACATACTTGCACAGCACAACGAGCTAGACTTATTTGCCGATGGATTAGGAAATTTGTATAAAGAAATTCAAATAATTTTAAATAAATTCTAGCCATCAAACTTACGTATATTGTTTTCATAATTAATTATTATAATTGCTTTTCTTATTTTTTTATTTTTTTTTATTATTATTATTGCTATTTTATTTTAATATTAATGTATTTATGGACTCAGATTGTATTTTTTATGATTTCTTTTCTATGATATTATTGATGTATTGTTAATTAGGATATTGTAAAATAATTTTGCTATTACCTATATAATGACGAGGATGTGTAATACCGAATTGTTAATCTTACAAGCGTTTTGGATGTGTCATCTGTTAGCTTGTAAGATGAAATGAAATAAATAAATAAATAAATCACAGAACTCACATAGTAGATAATATGGTCGATTATAGTCAGCATAGGTACTTTACCTAAGTAATTTACCATTTCATAATGTATTTTTTTACTCTTTATTAACAGCCCTTAGCAACCACGGAAAGCCCGTTGTGACGTAATAAGGAGAAAAGATGCAAAGTAATACGGACACTCGCGCGCAGCGATAAAGTTTTATTTAGCTTGCATGCGCGATTTATCTGATTAATAATAACTATGTAGGCTATTAAAACGTCGGCAAGCAGTCAACATCAAAAGAGTGCAACTTCTGTACGTTAGTACTATTATTTATTCTGTGGTAGTAGGTTTATAAAGGGCTTTAATGATGATGATGATTAGGTATTAGATTAGTTATCATCCAAATTTTATTAGATAAATGTGAGAACAATACAGATACCTAAAAACTAGGCTGAGAGATTTTTCCCCGGTCCCGCTAGTGATGTCGGCAGCGAAATCAGGTTACTACAACTTTTAATAGGCTGTAATGAATGGCTACAATGGCTCAACAAAAATTTAACTAAAATTACCAAGGCCTCGAAATAGGATTATTTTTTTATTCAGTCCAGGAAAAACAAAATTGCCCAATTGAAGAAAAAAATAATTTGCAGTGTTTATTTATTACAGGATCACAATATTTAAAATGATCTCACAAAAAATAAAATCGTTTCATAATATTCTTGTAAATACATATATACTTATAGCTAATCAGTCTCTGGTAGTAGTGCGACGCCACCAAGGAACTCCCGTCACATCGTCTTCATGGCATACATTTACGGTAGGCCTGTAAGTAGAGGATAAAAAAGTCAATAAAATTAAATCCCCGCACAACATTTTGCAGCATTAATCAACTGGTAATTGTTATTGTTCTTTAACAATAACAATTCGTAACAGTCCACGGTTGAACATGGGCCCTTCTTACACAACGAAAGTATCTTCTTATATAATACTTTTGTCTTCGATCACCGTTCTGGATATTTTACATATGATATATTATGACATCATATTACATTTTTTACGTGGTAGAGCCACGCTGCAGCTATAGATAGCTGAATCACAAATAGATCACGACCAAGGTAGGAACCACGCTCTCACGAAATACCAGCGTGAAAGAGCAGAATAATGCTGCTTTATATCGTATTATATCGTTCTATACAAGTGGCCAGTTCTAAAAACTTTCAGTGTCGCCCTCGTAACAACGCAAGTGCATTTTGATTTTTAATGGAGGATAGATGTAGATGTCCATGGACCGCAGTATCCACTTACCATCAAGTGGACTGTGTACTCGCTTTTCATCGTCATTCTATAAAAAATACTGCCATCTAACGGAATACATGAAAGCTTACTTCTTAAGACAACAAAAGGACAAAATGAGATTACGAATTTCCTTATGCAGCATTAAGTATTACACTTAAAAGGATATAAAACATTAGAAGTTGTTTGTAAGTCAGCAATGGAAATCGCCGTAGTGGCAGGGTTAATGAATTCATAACCTCATTTGACCTACCAACCGGGTGTCATAAGAAACTATTCTGAAAAAGGTTCACTGACCTACAATGTATGGTATTGTAGCCATCGGGTATAATGCCAGATGTAAAATTGGATATTTACCTAGTGACAGCTGAATTGACGTGACATTTTTGCTGTGGCAATTGTCCATGTCCAGTAGTAACATTACGTTACAAACCAATGTAGAAGACGTTTTTCTGTCTTTCCTAATAAACTTATGCTTATAGCGCCAGGTTTTCGCTATTTTATAAAATGTAGATTTATACAAGAAGTGACGTAAATGAACCCTTTACCCAATGTTATGAATGCGAAAGTTGAAAATGTGCAATGGCGAAATGATTAGGAAATTACACAAGAACAGCGTAAGATAATAACTAAAATAATCGGTCACTAGAAATATTTGAAATATTAACCTAGTGATGGCCATCAAATGTCTAAGGGTGCGTACAGATCAAGTAACATGTTGTATAACTTTTGTTTTATAACACGTCCACATTATGTAACATGGTTTTTCAACATTGCAACATAATATAACAATACTGTACACAACAATGCAATATAACAATGTTATATGACATTGTCGTATGACATAATATTTGTCGTTCTGCCGTTCGTGTTATATGACATTTGTGTCACGTTACAAAACGTTATATAACATTCAGCCTCCAAATTACTGAAACATGAATTACATAACAACGTTTTATAACATGTTATGTTATATAATGTGTACGCACAGTAATGTTCAGCTTTTTTTTTTATAGGATAAGGGTGACAAACGAGCGCACAGTCCACCTGATGATAAGTGGTTGCTGTGGCCCATAGACATCCACATCTATCTTCGATTAAGAATCAAAATGCAGATGCGTTGTCACCCGTGAGGACTAAGATAGAATGCCTCGTTTCCAGTAAAAAGCGTCTCCGGTTCTCTACACTCACCATACGAAACACAGCAGCGTTAAGCTGCTATTTTACGCTGGTATTCTGTGAGAGCGTGGTCCTTCCCCGGTCGAGCCGACCCATTCGTGCTACAACTATAATATAGCTGCAGCATGGCTCTACCACGTATAAAAAGCTTCTGGTTTGTGGTCATCTGTTAGGGATATGGTACGAATAATGATAAGTCCGAATTCAGCACCATGCTGTTTACAGATTACAGACTACGCGAAAATCTAAATTATATATTATAGCTCACCTGTACACACGACTATGAGGTAACGTTGATGACGTAATTAATGGGCAAGCTGTGGCCGGTGCTTCCTGAAAGTGTAAAAATTAAAAGCGTTTAAAATCAGATAATGTTCTTTTTTAGGGTTCTGTACCCGAAGGGTAACCAACGGGACCATATTACTAAGCCGCCGCTGTCCGTCCGTCTGTATGGGAGCAGGCTGTATCTCATGATCCGTAATAGGTAAACAGTAAAAATTCTCACAGAATGTGTATTTCTGTTGCCGCTATAACACAAATAATAAAAATAAAAATAAATTAAAAATTAAAGGGGGCTCCTCTACTATATAGTATTACATCTTGTAAGATGGTATGGAACCCTTTATGCAATAGTCCGCCTCGCACTTGGAAAGTTTTTTATTTTTTCATCTTTTTTCCTCGGTGACTATATGTTTGCTAAAGCATAATCTATATAATTCTTATATGACGATTATAAAACGATTACAATTACATTAATGAGTTAACCCAGGTGCAAAGGTCAAGTTTCTGATTACATTTCCAGTGTCGGTCTCCTCAATGGACATATTCATACACTACACGGTGCTAACACGGTGAAACAATGAATCTATAAGTTTATCTGCCACCGGGGCGACGCCACTTAGGAATGAACGAATATAATATACTAATTATATATATATATATATATATATATATATATATATAAATTCTAAATTCTACAGTGTGTGTTCATATACTCGTAATAGTGAAGATTTCTCCTAATGTAATGTGAGGGTAATGCATACCTTACCTGCATAGATTGCATTGGTATATGCATATTAGCTCGCAGTTTTCGCTGCCTGATTTCGCGACGCACGCAGCACTGTACACCAAGCAACACGCTACACACACATGAAGCAAGGCAACCTGGAACAATCACCATAAATATGAATATAATTGGATTATTTAAATAATTAAACTTTATAAAAACCAAAAACTGACCTTGGAAAACTGAAAGGAATAATATATTTTTATAGCATCTGAAGATGAGGCTTTAATTCTTAAATACACTTTGTCTTAGTAGTTAAACAGTTACACTTTGAAAAAAAAAAGTTTTTTCTCATTACTAAGTAAAGCGGTATGACTGATACATAATGCTTAGATATTAGATCTGCCTATACATCATATTGAAAGTTAAAATAAATAATAAATAGATAAAGCAAAATGACGAAACTAAATTGAGGAAAAAAATAGGTTAAAAGTTTTTCTAACTTAGCAAGCTAATATAACAAAATTATAGCTAAAATTAATTTCACAACAACGGCTTTAATAAAAATCGATTTTAATAACACTGCTATTTTGACACTAAATTAAAATACTAAAATAAAATTATTTTTAAATAATACAATAAATAAATTAATGGAATACTAACTAACAAGTTAATTTGTAGTGATAATAAAAACAGAAACATAACATTAAACAATAAATTATCTTACCAATATAAACTAATACTCCAAGATCACCATTACGGTTTGTACGCCTTAGTACAATACCAGCAATGCATAAAGAGATTCCAGTTAAAATACCTACAACAAATATAACCTGAAAGAAACAAAAAATTAAATAAATTGTTTCACTATTAGTATGTAATAAATTTTGAACATAGTATTAAAATAGCAGTCCACTGATGCTTACTAGCTACTGTGGCCTGAGAACATCAACAATCGTCAAACTACGAAGCCAATGAGGGCTAATAATCTTTGATGTTGTTGTTTCTTATATAGAAATAGTATTTGTGTTTAGTCCATTTTAAGTGTATTACAAGGCTACAAATACTGGTTAAAATTAATAAATGACCAAAGCTTCACTTAATATTTTCCTTTTAACAAGGTATACTATGTGTATGCTATGTAATATTAACCTTAAAAAAGAGAAAACCTGCGGAGTTTCTTTCGCCCTTTCTTCGGTACAACCTTATTTTATTATAGTTTTGTAAACTGTTCTTTTTTCAAAAAAAAAAATGTTAGCTAGGTTTCCTGCTGATTGTTCTCAGGACAGAGGTATTTTCTGAACCAGTGGTAAATTAAGGCAAGAGTGATTTTCAATAAGTATTATTTATAATCTATATTGAGTAAAAAGTTTCTTTTTTTATTTGTGTACTCTGCGCATCTGCACTATGAATTTTTTGTTTTGTAGGGCGAGCATAGAGAAACGAAGACCCTTTTTACTGGTAACAAGGCATAGTCTTCAGGGGTGACAACACATCTGAGTTTTGATTCTTAACCTTTAACTGGTGACGTGCGGTCTCACAGGCCGAGCGGCGCTAGCGAAACATCATATCACCCCTTTCCCCGCACTTCCCGTGTTTGAGCGCCTGAGTAGCTTCGAGTTTAGTATCGCCAGTGCACTAGATGGGGATAGTTGCGTCGGCCAGGCTCAAATCGGTAAGTTAGATCGATTTAAAATTCTCGAGCGGCCTCTCAGACCTTATGTCACCACTTACGCAACTTTTTTGGAATTTCACTATAATGATTTATTGCGGTTATTTTCAGATATTACTTACAAACTTACAATGAATAACCCTGGATCTTCTAGAAAAAAGCGTAGAGAGGTTGTTGACATAAATGCATTGCCAAGTACAAGAAGAAAAGTCTTATCAGTCGTAAAGTCTAATGTCGATCGCCAAATTATAGAATGGTTAGCCCAAGAAGATTCAAGTGGATCGGAAACTGAAGACGTTCCCGAAAATTATGCCCCGGAGCATAGCGACCACAACACGGAAACGGAAGCAAGTGCTTCTGAAGATGAACAACCAGTAATACATCAGGAAAACCAGCTTTCAGAAAGTGACAGTGACGAACCTTTGTCAAGATTATCTAGATGTTTCTATGGGAAAAATTGGTTCAAATGGGCAAAAGATCCACCAAACAGAGCTGTGAGGACAGGTCAACATAACATTATAGCTTGTGTGCCTGAGTTAAGGTTGAATGAACACTATGAAAAAGACCCTTTTTCTTTGTGGAAGAAAATTATAAGTTTAGATATCTTAGAAGAAATTTTGAAATGGACAAATGTGAAAATTGGTGAACTGAGATTAAAGTACATTAGAGAAAATCGACCTGAGCTACAAGACATGGATATGGTCGACTGGCATGCATTTCTTGATCTTCTTATGTATACAGCTGTGTTCAAGTCCAACCACAAAAATTGTGAGTACCTATTTGCCACTGACGGGACGGGAAGGGATATTTTCAGATGTGTAATGTCGCAGAAAAGGTTTTTAAATCTGTTACTGTGCTTACGGTTTGATAATGGGGCTGACCGAGATGAAAGAAGACAAAATGATAAGCTGGCTGCAATTTCAAACATATTCAGAATATTTGTAAATAACTGTCAAACCCTGTACAATTGCAACAAATTGTTTTGCAAAAGAGAGCCGTACGGGCGATTTATAATCTAAATTGTAAAGAGTCCCTTAGAGAAAAATTTAAAGAAATAAACATATTAACTTTGGCATCGCAATATATTTATGAAAATGTAATGTATGTACATAAAAACATAAATAGCTTTAATAAGAATAAGGATGTTCATACCTTAAACACTAGGAACAAACATAAGCTTGTAATGCCACTTACAAGACTCCACAGAATTAGTAATTCATTTATGGGGCAATGTATACGCTTTTACAACAGAATCCCAGAACATGTTCAAAGTTTGTCAATAAACAAGTTTAAAAGTTTTATTAAAGAAAAACTGTACAAAAAGGGTTATTATAATATCAAGGAATACATGAATGAAAATAACCCCTGGGAATAAGGTGATCGCCACCATGCTGGTTCTATGAAAATTCATTTAAAATTGTATAATCAAAATTATTGTTAAGTGAAATTATGTTTAAAAAAAAAGTCCCGCTGGGTTTCTTGCTGGTTCTTCCCAGGACAGAGGTATTTTCCGAACCAGTGGTAAATAAAATAATGACTTTCAATAAGTATTATGTAATAATCCATATTGAATAAAAATCATTCTATTCTATTCTATTCTACAATATTGGAGTGTGCAACGATCGATGAAATGTTGATAGCATTTAGAGATTGTTCTTTTTTGTCATATATATTCCAAACAAACCAGGCAAATATGGTTTGAAAATGATGTGTATGTGCGATTCTAAGACTAACTATTTTTATAATGGCTATATTTATTGTGGAAAAGGATCTGATGGTGAAACTTTGACAAACGAAGAAAAGAAGTTTCTAGTTCCGTCACAAGCAGTGATTCGCTTGACAAAACCCATTCACAACAGTGATCACAATGTAACGTTCGACAATTACTTTACATCAATTGAATTGGTAGATGCGCTAAAGAAACGAGGCCTGACATGTGTAGGTACTTTAAAAAAGAATAAAAGAGAACTTCCCAAGGATTTCCAGCCATCTAAAACAAGAGATGTGGGATCTACACTTTATGGATTAACTAATAATATAACTCTGATATCTCATGTTCTAAAGAAAGGAAAAGCTGTGTGTTTAATTTCTTCAATGCATAATTGTGAAGCAATTGACAAGAAGACAGGAAAACCTGAAATTATAGCTTATTACAACTCCACAAAAGGAGGAGTTGACGAAATAGACAAAAAATGCTCCATCTACACCTGCAGTCGCCGATCGCGAAGGTGGCCCATGGTACTATTTTATCGAATGTTAGACATAAGTACAGTGAATGCCCATGTTCTTTATCAAGTTGATGGTGCCAATACCATTGATCGGGGACAATTCATCAAGATCTTGGCGAGAAACACGGTTTTACAACACCTGAAGGGCAGAGTTTATAATACTCATATTCCACGTGATATAAAAATCAACTTAGTGCGTATTCTGGGTTCTGATTTATCACCTGAACCACAAAATCCTGAAAACAGACTGAAAACACGGAAAACCTGTGCTAGTTGTCCTCCTAAATTAAACCGTAAATCGAATTACCAATGTATGTCATGCAAAAAAAAACACATTATTTCACATGAAGCAGTGTGCAAAGCAATTATGCCGTAACTGTCAATAAAAATACTAAAGTTTGACAGTTGTCATTTTTGATACATGTTTGAACTTTGATAATATATACATATATGTTATGATTATGTTGATTTTTATTATTTTATAAACAATTGTTGATCTTGAGCCTAGTTTTTCGATTATAGAGAACAAAAACTTTGTAACTACCAGTACATAATTAAAAATTTTATTTAGACTACATGAAGTTGTTTTAATTTTTACTTTAGTATATAATTTAATACAAAATATACATTAGAATAACCTACCATATTTAATATACGTATTATAGACCAGACCGCTCATCACCAGTTATGTTACAAAAAATTCACGTCACCAGTTAAATGTTAATAAAGGATAGATGTAGATGTCCAAACCACTTACCATCAGGTAGACTGTGTGCAAAATGTTGAAGATCAATAAAAACCAATTTTTCACATCATAAAATTTCTAAAATTATACTACATAGCTACATTTATAAATGAAATTATAAGGTATTATTTCATTTTGGTAATTCATTATAACCTTGCCTATAAAGACAATCAGTGATTTTGTAATAAAAGTGGTTAAATACTTACTTGTAAAATATAGTAGCACACATATTCAAATCCTGGACAATGCCCACCACAGGCCCCAACAATGGGCACTTCAGTGCTTACAGATATTACCGTTGGGACAGGTGAACGATTCACAACTTGAGTACGAGGATCCACATCACACAATGGAAGTGAAAATGATGAGGCACATGGGGGAAATGCGTAAGTGTTTGTTGTTGTACAATCGACAGATACTTTCTCCCCTTTTCTATAGTTGTGCCATGTACCAGTACCAGTACCATAGGGCGTTTGGTAAACAGGAGATGCTGGACCATATTCTCTTAGACTTTCATTATAATAATGGGGTAGCTGCAAAAAGATAATATAAAATTAGTATAGATCGTATCATATTATTAAATGTTTATAATTATTTAAAAGTGACCCTAACAATATATTTAAAGTAACAAGATAATAAAAATCAATCTGTTTGAGTTAATGCTGTATTATTGAATGAATTTTAACATTTGTATTTCTATTTAAATTAGTTATTGTGCAGATCAATGATCTTAAAATATATATTCGATAATAAAATCATAATTATAATATAATACTAAATTGCTATTTAAACATCACAGAGATTCCTTATTGTAACTTTGTCAAGCTTATATAAAATGAAAAGGCTTATTATTTATTACTTCTTGTTGAGAAAAGTTTTACATATTATTTTTTTATTTTTATCTTAGGAAAAAGCAAACTAAACGAAAGAATTCAATTCTCGTAGCCGCCCAACCATTGAGACATCTGAGATGTCTTTGAGGTTGAACATACAGTTTTTCTTGAAATTCTACTAAAACTACACACTTAGTATACAAGGGTGCCTTATATGTATGTACTTTTTCATAAATACCGGAACTAATGTTTTTAAATAAATAATATGCACTTGCATGATAAGCATTATCTGAAGTTGAGCTGTCGGTTCCAGCAACCTGGTATATAGGTGTATTAATATCTTCTGCCCACGGATATTTCACCCTTTGTTGCGATGCTGACGAAAATTGTTGCTCGCTTCTAGGTACTACTGTAGTTTGATAAGGGTGAATGCTTCTAGGTGACAATTGTTGTTTGAACATTTTGAAAACTGATATAACAACTATCTAAAAACCAGAATAACTATGTTATGAAAAACATGACAAGTCTAGCATTGTAAAATTTGTGCCCCAACCCCGTGTAATATTCTCTAGCTCATTTTGAGTTCACATAATATAATAGCCATTTAAACTACTGTCGAGATAAAACTAGTTGGTTAATGGTTAAATTATTAGACAGTAAAGATGAAAAGTTGTTATTACAAACACTAATTAATATCATTATTTTTAAACAAACAAATGTCTTTCAGTAGGTATTCGTCAAAACGCCATGTTCTGTATCACAGTCACAGCTCACAGTCTAGGGATGTGAAAAAAAATCAATTTTCATATTAATCGATAAAATTTTTCTTAAAATCGATTTTTAAAAGTAAATTTTTTTGATAATAAAGATCGTTTTTTAATAAATCGATTATGTAAATTACGTGTTTTATCGATTTTTGTAATAAGTGTCATCTGTGCGATGGATGTAAAAACGTGAAGTTCAATATCATGAATAAGTCGACCAAAGGAACATTGTCATCTGTGCGACAGATGAAAAAACACGAAGTAAGTCCACTAACATGAACAAGTCATCAAAAGACGGCAGCACCTGTATGTATCTCAATGTATGTAAAACAGTTTCGCCTTTCGTATGTTTTCAACAGTTTTCTTTCTCCGCTAGGAGTAAAAGTATTCTGCGGTTTTCTTTCTTTCTTTAGAGAGTGTAAATAATTCTTAAACAATAACAATGTCTTGTAAAACGCCTAAAAATGGCTGACGGAAGTATTTAATTGTACACGCCCCTAGCTGTCCCGACACAGGTCAAATATCCCGGGGCCCATCAGCGGTAGATTCGATGAACAACTAAGGGTGGGGCTCGAAATGCATATGGATAATCAATATAGATGGAATAGGTAATTAATTCGACTTACTTGTTTCAGAAGCGAAGACTGGCCACAAGGCTCGGTCAGGCGGTAGGTGTAGTGTATGTAAGTGGTGTTTAGTGGTGTGTAAAATTTGAAACCTGACTTAACCCTTTAAAGCGGCAGCAGCCCTGACTCCGGCACTGCCACACGGTGTGGTATCCTCCAGCGGCGTCACCTCGATGTCACTCAAAGTCTAGCGTCCCTTAGCACAAATCTGTAATCTAATACAATCACTTTTTATCGTGGGTCACAAAGTTTAGCGTTTTTAACCGACACAGGAAAATATCTCCGAGTTACATCAAATGCCACAAGCAACTCGTCGACGCAAAATAATATTGTCAAGCATTTCAATCGGCAATCACTATACAATTTACGTAAATTACTTGCCAACGAATTTAGGTTAATCAATCAAAATATTACTGCTTCGTTATCGCGTGAACGCACTAAAGATAACCAAAACTAGAAGCGAAAAACTCCAATAGTAAATTATACACGTCCTATCGACCGGCAGTTGTTCACACATAATCTCTCGACGCGTCTCGAACGACTCGACCACGAGTGGAATGCGGCCGGGGAGGGGCCGGCCGTGACCTTCGTACCGTGCTATGCACGCGCTGAGTCGCGAGTTATGAATTCAACTTTGAAAAGGTTAAGTTTTGGCCTAAACAAACCCACGCCCCGGACATAAGGACTTATGTCCGCGAGTAGATTGGCAAACGGGAAAGGGTCATGACGGCACGTTGCAAGACCGAATCTCCGACCTAAACCTCGGCCACCCTAGGCACCCCATCCGATCCATACGACAATTTAACAATGCGCCCACGGCGCCAATACAAAGGCAGAGCGTTGGGTTCTTTAACTAACACGAGGTCTCCAACCCGAGGAGGATCCGTCTTGTCAGACCACTTAATGCGCTGCTGCAAAAGATGTAGGTACTCCAGAGACCATCGGTGCCAAAAACTCTGAGTCATCTGTTGCAGCAGGTCAAATCTGCTCAACCGCGAAGAATTTATTTCCCTGAAGGGGTACTCGGGCAGGGCGTAAAGCGGCTGGCCAATCAAGAAGTGTCCCGGGGTTAGAACCTCCAAATCATTCGGATCGGAGGAGAGGGGACAGAGGGGCCGAGAGTTGAGTACCGCTTCAATTTTACAGAATACAGTGGCAAGCTCGTCAAATGTCAAAATAGTTTCGCCAATAACGCGACGGAGATGCGTTTTTGCAACCTTAACCACCGCCTCAAAAATACCGTCTCACTGTGGGCAAGCCGGAGGGTCGAATTTCCACTGGATGTCCTTCTTGGACATTGCAGCACCTAAATAAGTCCTGTGGCTGGACAGAAATTCGACGACCTCCTTCAAATATCTATCCGTGCCCCTTATAATGTTCCGTGGTGAGGGCACTTACAAGTTCCAAATGAGCGGCCTCAGTGGAGAAGCACACGAAACGCACAGATAGTCCTTAGTATGATTTTTCACGCAGGAGGCATAATCAAGCTACTTACCTTATAACTACCTTATAATTATTTACTCAATTGTTCGGCAGCTGACTTCAATCTGATAGTCTCCCAACTAGCTAGCCCTTTTAGACATATAGTCCTATGCTCATATTTCAACGAAGTTTCAAAAGCATCAATGCTCAACTACTATGTAAAACTCGAAAATAAACGGTAAAATTTTTATTTCTTGATGCGCATAGATCAAACAGACAAATTAAGCAAAACGACAAACATAAGAGATAGCCAAAAAAAAACAAAATTTTCTTTTCAAAATAAAGCAAACATAATAATCAAATATATATACAAAAACATATGTACACGTATTCAAGGAGTATATAAAATTCACCTTTTTACTCACAACCGCTACAATTACGAAACATTTCGCGGAAAAACCAAGGCACTTTTATTTTTAATTTAAATCATTTTAATTAAGTGCTCGACCAAAACCAAATCTAATACTCCTGGACAGCGTGATTCAACGCTCCAGGGGAGCCCTAGTCTTCCCACCAACCAAGTGGAGGCAAAACAGCGTTGTGAACCCGAATCCAAAAGCGCGAACCGCTAACAGTCGCTACTCGGGTTGTACGCCTTCACTGAGATCGTCGGCAAAAGAACAGTTTGATAAATGGACTGTTGACGGCTCAAAGGATCAGTGGAGGCGGCCGTGGTGAAAGCTAGGGCGGCCGCTAGCTAAGGCTGCCTCCCTCAAAGGGGGGACGGCGATACCCCAGCCGCGGCCACTCAGCTAACGGGGGTGAGAAGGGCCTAGCTGACTGCTGAGTGGCCGTGAAGTTTCTCTCCACACGCTGAGGGGGGATGACGACACCCCCACCCCTGGGGGGACGACCCCCCGACTGGTCGGGGGAGGGACCCCTCTCAAACCCAGGGGCTCGGTGGCTGGCAGGCGACCGCCGAGCGTCGCCCGACAGAGGGCGTAGCTGAGCGCACCCGCCCGTGGGGGTCGAGGGCCCAGCAGAGCCCCGAGAGGAGACGTCGTTCGTACCCAGGCACAAAACTGCATGGTGATTGCCCTGGCAATGCGGACAGGGCCGCTGGTGCGGGCAGTCTCGCTGGAGGTGCCCTTCCAAACAATAGTAGCACCAGCGGCGCTCCTTGGCATTAGTTCGCCTAGCCGGAACCGGCTTACCTAATAACTTCGGGCACGACTTCACCCGGTGATCAGAAGCTCGGCAATAGGAACAGGGGGGCGCCTCCCCGGCTACTAGGCCACTGTAAGATGGTAGGGAGCGGCACCATCTCGCGGAAGCTCCTATCGGCTTTAGGGGGGTTGACGACGATTTGCCCGGCGGATCTCGCCTCTCACGGGGCACGGCTCGTAATTCGTCAACGGTGCCCGTCGCGTTCTCAATCTGCCGGCACTGCTCCTCCAAGAACCGCAGCAGATCACTAAAGGGCGGAATATAGGAGGCGCCGTCCCCGCCATACCTCTCCTCAAAATGTATCCTAAGATCGAGAGGCAGTCGGGACAGCACAATGTGGAGCAACAAGAAGGACCATTCGTCCACCGGTAAATCTAGCCGCCTCAACGCATTACAGGCCACCAAGACTGGATTCATGATGTCCGGGCGTAGCCTGGCCCGGTCCCTAAGCAGTGGGAGGCTTAGCAGCTGCCTGACGTATTCGTCCACGATTCGCCAGACGTTGGCGTATCTTCCGGCGAGGAGGTCCCGAGCAGTCTGGTAGGCGTCATCCGACAATCTCAAATGGCCGACGACGCCCAGGGCCTCCCCCTCTAGTGAGGCTAGGATGTACACCATCTTCTGGCTTGGTGTCAAGTCCCTCCGGGCGTCCACTAGGCTATCAAAAAGCCCTACAAAAGTCATCCAGTCGGGGAGGACCCCGGAGAACCTTGGCAGGTCCAGAGTTGGGAGTCGTCCCAACAGCTCTTGCTGAGTAGGCCGCCTCCGAGGGGACTCGGGCAAGCCACTCATCAGAGCTTCACGCGCTTCCTTAGCATACTTGACCCCGGCCTCGATCCAATCGTCCGTGAGCGAAAAGAACTGCTCATAGTACGCGAAGCAGGAGTCCAGGACTCCCTTTTCCGCATTCGAGGCCTCGAGCTCAGCGTAAGCCTCCTCCACTACGGCCCCCCGGGCCGCGAACTGCTCGAGCCGCTTCTCTAAACTATAGACCTTATCTGGTCGACCTACCAAAGCATGGGCGCTAGCGGCCCAGCGTAGCTCCGCCTTAAGGCCACGAATCGGTAGCTTGTGCGATGGCATCACTACTAAATACAAATTAATCCGCGGCACAAATACAAATCAAATTAACAAACAACAAATACAATTACTATCAAATCAAGTTAAATACAAACCACACAAATACAAATTACTATTTATTAAATTAAATACAAATTACACTACAAATAAAGGTACACACTACAGTCGATCAGCAAAGATGCCTCGCTCGGTCGACCGACCCTTCGACAATCAATCTACTATAATTAAACGACAACGATAATTATCCGATTACGTGATAACATTATCTACCTACTCAAAATACTTGACGCGTACCTAGCCCTAACAAACTCCTGCTTGCGCAGCCCAACGGGTGTGGCTTCTAAATCAACCCACATATCCGCTAACAAACAAAGGAAGCAAACAACAAAAAAATATTATTATTATTACGTATTACGGCCGGGCGTGATTGTAGAAACAATCAACCGCGCCTCTGCTACCAAAATTGTACACGCCCCTAGCTGTCCCGACAAAGGTCAAATATCCCGGGGCCCATCAGCGGTAGATTCGACGGACAACTAAGGGTGGGGCTCGAAATGCCTATGGATAATCAATATAGATGGAATAGGTAATTAATTCGACTAACTTGGTTCGGAAGCGAAGACTGGTCACAAGGCTCGGTCAGGCG